TCCAGATCTGAAGTTCTTTTCCTTCATTTAAAAATCTTTCTGAGCAAAAAGGCAGCAACTTCTCAGTTTTCAAACGGTGAAATATTTTAAAATGTAAGTTATTTGTGATTAGGAAGATTGTCCATTAGCAGTGCAGTAAATCGCTCCTAAGCATTAGTCAAACTGAAAAAGAAAAAATTTCAAGTGAAAATAAAAGGCAGTTCAGAGAGAATTTATCAAATACGATCAGATGGTGTCCAGAGTGAGTAGGACCTGCTATAGTGATACACAGAAGTGAGAGACAGAAAGGCATTTAAGTTTGAAGAGGCAGTGTGAATGCCAGTATGTGGATACATTGTTAGGTCCAAAATTACAGTGTCAGCTCATCAGCTCATCTATTGATAATTGTGGAAACAAAGGAACAAGTTTCTACCCTTTTCTGGATAATAGGAAACCACTGAAAGGGAGACTGAAAGATGGTCATATAGTCATGTTGCCAGGAGCAATATAACAATTTTTCTTGGAGTATTTTGATTCCCTGCAATTTGGAGAGAGGGGGATTTACTTACAGAAAGATCTGAGCTGAAGCTCTTAATACAAATATCGCTATGAAGATGGTGCAAAATTGGGACTTCACATCGGCATCTGTTTTCAGAAATAGGGTGGCAACACACAAGGCAATGGTAGAAAAGCAAGACCTCAAACATGTTTGTAGCAAAGTAGAATTCTTGCATCTCGTGTGCAGTGAGCCGTCCCACTTACTAAAAAGGTCATATGGATAAGGTGCAGTCTGAAAAACAATAGCTGTTCTTCCAGGCTTGAGTGTGGTCCTAAATGGGATATGACTGGAGTTAGAAGTGTGGGTCACAGAATGAGAGAAAAGTTTAGTATGTATTGCTATGCTGTAAAAGTCAAGTTAGACAAATGGATGTTAGAAGATGCCCAAAATACATTAACTTGTGTTACTTCTGCCAACATCATGACAGAGATGACACAGAGAAGCTAAATGAAGAACAAGGCGATAGATGGAGAAGAGAGCAGACAGTGTCTTGTGAAACTCTATAGTGGAAATAATGGTTCAAGATGTAAAACATCAAGCAGATGTGGAAAGAGGAGTTTCTGAAAACAGACTTCAGAAGAATAGGCTAAGGGAGATACTTGACTAAACCACCTGAAAACTGGATTAATCAATCATTTGGTAAACTTCAGTGAAATCCATGTGTAAGCTTGAGAAATGGTCTGTTGATGGAGGCCAACACTGATGAACAACTACTATGACATAATTTAATCTGCTGAAACAGATGAACGCAGATTTATTCTTCAGGTATAGCGATGTTCATGTTTTTGTCATGTTAACATGGCCATTTCTTACTGTATGGTTTGTAGGATGTTGGTGTGTTCTTAAAATGAAGTCTGATGGTGATTAAGGCATTCAGTACAGTAAGCTAGTAACTATTGCTCTTCATATAACAGTGAAATCTGGAGGCAGGATTGCTAGGACATTGTGCCTTTTTATCAGTGGAACAAATACTTTAAAAGCATTATTTCTTGAAGCTTATCTACATAAATATATCTACAGGATAAGTAAATATGAAAGCATTTTAGTTGCTTAGTTACTTAATTACTACAACTATAGTAATTAAAGATCGCTAAAGATCACAAAGTATTCTGTCCTCCCTTCCCCTTACGTTAGTAGGTTGACGTGAACCAAGGCACTTCAAATCTGTATTTCAGCTTTAAGGAAATTAAGATGGGGGTTATGAAATTCATGTGCAAAAATTACAGGTTCTTTTGAGTGCTTATGAAGCTGCAACTGACAGAAAGAATTAGTGATTTATTCTGTCACATAGACAGGGATGCTTGATTGTTGCTGAAAATCCATAGCTAGTATGAAGTAAAACAGAAAGTTACACATCTTCTCCCATGTTGGAATTTTATATGAGAGAAAGTACAGGCACGTGGGGGGAAAATCCAGTTTTCTTCTGGGATTGTATAATCCCCACTCATTCTCTTGCTAAGGAATTTCAAGATATTTTAAGAGGTAATGGGTTTTTTAATGAATTGGAATCTGTTATATAGTTTTCCCCATTGTGTTACTCACGTAGAAAGTAATGTTTCTTCTTCATGTACTAGAAGCTTATTCTTACCCTTTAGTGTAATAAGTGTGGAGAGGGGTTGAACTTCTTGGAATCCATTCTATTCTTATATAGTAAAAGTCTTCTATTAGAAATATGACATGTTCTGTTTCACGTGCTGTGATTAGACTAAAGAAAGCAATTCAGAAACTATGAAACCTTTTTTCCTTAGTCATTCCAGTTTTTTATTGACTGCTATACTATCTCAAAACAGAGAGGCAAGAGGAGATAAGGCTTACTGTGTAGCATATGCTTTCAGGCAGAACATAATCAATTGACAAAATATCAGAATGTAGAAGTATATTGACTAATTCTTCATTTTAATCCATTGACACAAACTACAAAACATTGGGAAAACGCCTCAGCCAGAGCAGTCTTTGCTGAGATATTTCAGCTGTGTTCAGTGGGCTGTGCTGGGAGATAAGGGGGCCCATTTGCTGTGGTCTGTTGTATCTCTGGTCTTTTTGCTGCTCGTAGGTGAGCAGCTTTTGATTAGTGTCAACTGCTGAATGAAGTTATATCTCACTATATAACTGGTGATCGGCTTTATATTCCACAAATAAGTGACTCTCTGAATGCAGCCTCCCATCAGAAAGGGCTTTGCTTTTCTCTCCTTCTGTCTGCTTTGCAAGTAAATTGTTCCTTCTGCAGACCCATGTGGCTTGCTTTTCTCGCCCTTGGTGACAGCAGAGCTTGCTGGTTGGTGATCTCTGCAGGGGTTTATAGCTCAGCTCTGCTGTTCTCTCCCTCTGTTCCCACTTCTCTGTTCCCTCCCCTACTGTGACTAAATAAATTACCTGTATGACATGTTCAGTTTTCTCTGGCAAGAAGCCTGGGAAATCAAATCTGTTCCCGAACCTGGGTCTCCCATTTGGCAAATGTAATGCCTCCCTGCTGTTAAATCAGGTCAGCTCTCAGGAAAAACAAAGAACAATTTCATATAACTATAATCAACACAGAGTAAATTTAGATAATGCAGCTGACATATGTTTATTGTAAAGACCATCAAGGAAATAATTTTACAAGCACTTCATCTTTCTCTGTTGCATTAGGATACGTGTTGAATGTTCTGTTCATAGAGAAGATCAAACATTTTCTTTCTGTTATTCCATATCAAAGTGAAATTTATTTATTTTCTGTCAGGTCTAAGAAGATATTTGGTGAAATGTTTCATTGGTTGCATCAGAAACAGTTTTATGTATTTAATGACTGTGGCTTTCCATAATTAATTTATAATTAACTATTAATTACTACTAATTATTCATAACCTGTCTAGTTCCTTTGACTTTTTGGCCTCTGAAAGTGGAGATAAAAGTGTTTAGAGGAGGAAAAATAAATCGTTTTAACACATTGTGTTTGTTTTTCTACCCTTCCTCTCAGTCTGTTTCCACCAAAGATGAGAGGCTCTGGGTGAATAACGGGGTGGCAGCAGGTCTCTCCCGTGTTACCAGACCTGACATGTGCCCCGGCAGTCCCGCGGCACGTGTCCCGCGTGGGCAGCCTGCTCTCTCGCATGCCGAGGCAGTCACCTTCCACGGGGGAAGCACCGGTGTGGGCAGCTTCCCCGCTCCAGCTGGGAGCTGAATTCCCTGCTCAGCTGCTCTGTGTGTCCCACAGGGGCTTTGAATTCCACCCCGGAGGCTCTGTGGTTTATCAGTTGTTAGCAAGCTCACTTTAGACTGCAGTGGGACTGTGGAGCATCTCCAGTCACCTCCTGTCTGGCTTTATTGTGGTGGGCCTCCGTCCCGGGGAAGCAGAGAGGCTGGTTTCCTTTGGGCAGGCTGTGCTAGTGCCGGGGGGTTGCTTGGGGGCTGAAACAGCTACTGAAACCCTGAGCTCTCCCCCAGCCCTCTTCAAAGGAGGAGCAGGAATCGCCAAGTGCCCCTGGGGTACCCTCGGGGCTGGTGCAGCGCCAGCCTAGGAGCGCTCCCCGTGCTGAGCTCTCAGGAGCCAACTTTGCTGCCATTTATTATTCAAGAGGATTAGTAAAAATGGGCATCAACAGCTGCCTTACAGTCTTACCACTGCCGCTGACTAAATAGCCACCGAGTTACAGCTGGGGGCCTTGGCTGGAAACATTTTCCAACCCCAGCTGATTACTGGGTTGTCTTACCTGGAGTCCTGGGAAGAGTGAGCCGTGCGGGAGGCTGCCGGGCACCCTGAGCAGCAGGGCAAGGCTGTGCGTGGCTCTGCCCGAGCTGCCTGGCCTGTGTTTCAAACTCTGCTAATGCTTCATTCTCAAAAGCATATGGGGTCAAGTGTATATGCTGTGTTTTTAAAGGGTACATGCTTTTCCAGAACTTTTTAAAGATAGCTAAAGTGTTATTAATAATTGTTTAGTCATTCATGAGTTGCCTTTGTTCTAATGAGCTCCTCTGTTGTTTCTTCGTTGTTCTGAGATGCATAGTGAATGTTTTTTCATCAATTTAAAAATCCTTCAAAACTCTGTTGTGTAAGAAAAGTCCTTGAAGCTGAAAATGTTCTTTTTTGTCCAAAGCTTTCGTCCAATGTGCACAACAAAGATTAAGAGGTGAAAGCAGTGAAGTGGTTTTTAAAAGATGGGAATTCAGTTCCTCCCTCCACCAGGAATGACCTGAAGCAAGGGCCATAATCTCCATCTGCATCGGCTCCTGTCTGAAGAAATGACAGTAGTAATGTTATCTATCCTCAACTTTGTCTTATCAGCACAGATTGCAGATACTGTCTCCTACCGTAAAGATACAGGATGTTACTCTGAAAGTCTTCAGCTGATACTGCAATATAAATCATTCCAGGTCTATGTTAATGGCAAGGGCAAAGCCTGTCTTGTTCCCTTCTTAGCATCTAGGTTGGTCAAACGAATTGTTGAGCTTGTTCTAACCCGGCTTTATTTCTTGTCTCCTCCAGCCTGTGACCTGATGACCCTGGGGATCTTAGCCTTAGTGACGTCCACTGGTTGTGCCTCGGCCAACGCCTTGCAGTCCCTGACAGATGCCATGCACATCCCACATCTTTTTGTACAGCGCAACACAGGAGGGTCCCCGCGCACAGCCTGCCACCTGAACCCCAGCCTGGAGGAGGAGGAGTACACCCTGGCTGCCCGACCACCAGTCCGCCTCAACGATGTTATGCTGAAGCTCGTCACTGAGCTGCGGTGGCAGAAATTCATAGTATTTTATGACAGTGATTATGGTAAGTAAAGTGGAGAGTTTCAGACTCTCTTAAATTGATTTATTTTTAACTTGTAGATGGAGAGGAAAGTATAAAGGCAGGGGTGGAATATAACTTGCTGGGTTCTTCATTGACAAAGAGGAAAGTGTTTCAAGAGGACGCAGGTCTTTGCTTTGAAGGAAAGGTTGCTGTGAAAACTAGTTCTCAGACAAGCAGCAAAGTTGCTTAGCAACACCTACCAAGACAGCCAAAGTTTGAATCATCTCACACTTTTTCAGTAAAATATTAATAAAGTGTTGACGTTGATTGGCAGGGGTCATATAGCTATGCAAGGAAGTTCAACATGGCCGCTGTCCATTCCCAGAAAACACTTTCTATAAAAGCTTAGTATTGTTCTCTTTAAAATTTAATTTTCACAGTAACTATTACTGTTTCTTTTTCACATGCTTCCTCACAATATTCTCCATTTGGACTAAATTTCACAGTGATATACTTCCTGGCATTAAACCAAAAAGTAGAGTTAGCATTTTCACTATATCTGATACATTTCCTTCAGCAAAATTTTTACTTTGGGCTTAAACTTGAGGAAAAGGAGTCTCTGCCCAAGCAAATTTAGTACCTTATGGTGGGTGTAGAGAATCAATGAAAAAATAAATCTCTCATTGTGCCAAGTTCTCAGAGTGAAAGGGAACTGTGTGCATAATTTTTCTTTCCCCCCTCCCCCACTCAACTGATATGAGCACTGTTCCATATGTTTAACTTGCAGTATTTTCAGCACTCCCATCTTAGGATATAGGTTCTGTAATGGATATAGTATCTGTAATGGGGAAAATAAATTTTTTGCAGTATGTTTTAAAACCCTGCAAACACTTTTGGTTTAAAATGTGATGTGTAAGCATTTGGCGTGGTGACTTACTATGAACAGAATACAAAGAAAGGAAATGGAGGTTAAATTACAGTTGGAAAAATAATCTTATGTGTATCTGAGCATATAGTTTACATTTTATACATAGTGTTCCACAATTGCAACATAGTTCTTTATTTACATTCTCCCTATGTAATGGCAGATTTTCAGTAGTGAATCAGAGAGAAATAACATCTTTGGTGTTGAAGTTGGGTGACTCTTGGTTTGGAAAAACCAAACCAAACTAACCAACCAAAAAAAACCCCAAAACAAAAACCAAAACACAAACCAAAGCAAAAAGGCTGTGCAAAGGGTCCTGTCCTCAAACAAGTTCTGAAAATCTTTGGTGCAGCCTTCTCTTCTCAGTTGCTAGAGATGTCACTTGCTGTTTCTTCAACAGGCAGTTTGGAGATGATGTGGGTGATATTAAGTGTGAAATCAACTGAGGCAGTAACATCCTTTTAATTGTGTAGAATTATTTTAAGCATGAGAAGGCTGCCGTAATATTTGTAGAGTTAATCTGTAGACTCAAAAATCTAGCAACTCAGCAAATAAACTACCATGTAATTACTGTCCTATGTAATGCTTGACCAGTGAGTCCTCTGAAAGCAAATACCACAAGGTATGGCATAGATGTTCTTTTGATGGCCTTCTGTTAGTGATGAGAAAGTTGCTATGCAGCAAAGGATTGGGCTTAAAAAGGTAAAATGATTTGAACAGTTATTTCCAAGAACGTAAAAAAAAAAATAAAAAAAAATTCTTAAAAGGATATCCTAAAACATGTCTTACAACATCATTTTATAGTTACTGTTGTTTCTCTCCTGCCAATTTGTAGCTTTAACCTTCCAAAACTGCTTGAGTCAGGGATCTTTCAACCCCTGGGAATCCTGGCCCTGGTAACAAACTGCTACCATGAACCTGGTTACTGAACTGTGGTATCACTTATTCCAGTGGTACATCTGTTACTTTGCCTTTTTCTGCAAAGGATTAACATCTTTAATTCATTAATTCTGAAACCCTTAGCTGAATTTACAGTGTGGGTGAATTATGGTCAAATTTATCTTTTGCATTTACCATAGACTGACCTTCAGTCTGTACCAGTAAGACAGTAAAAGGGCATGGAAAATTGCCACAGGCGTTCAGCTCCTTCCAGTGGAGAGCATGTTGTGTACTGCAGCTGCCCATGTGCTGCTGCTTCTCCTCTTCCTCTTGGATGCCACAACCATCTTGTGCTAATTCCACTAGAAGGATTTATTTAATAAGAATTTGGTGGGAGAAGTTTCCATAAAGAAGCCAACTGAACCTTGCCAGCTCTGGGCAGGGACTGGTGAATTAGGGGATAAATAACCCAGTTCCCAGGCTATTGCACGCTGAGCTCAGGACCAGCTTCCTGGCTCCCCAGACGTGCCCATTGCCCTCATGAGTTACCTTCAGTAGAGGTGTGCTTACCCATCTCCAGCAATGTTTCCTGCTCGGTGTGCAGGAGTTGACTGCTGGCCAGGAGGAGGAAGGTCACATGAAGAACATATGTTTATGACTATGCAGAGTTTCCAGCACTGGGATTCTGTGGTTTACAGTAATAAACGGTCCTTCTCTACTTGCTCTCTGGAAGTTATACTATTCCCTTGAGTAATGTTTTATTTTGTCCATCTGCTGATCTCTGAAAACCAGCTGATCCCTTGGTGTCCTCCTTGTGGAAACTGTCAGGTTTTCTAAAGACAAAATAAATAACAGTGCACAATTTTAAGAAGTCCCATGTTTATAGTAATGCTGTGCTATACTGGAGCTGAAAATTATTTACCTTATGAGTTACTTGTCCCTTATTGGACATACATTTTGAAGTGTAATTTCTGCACTGGCTAAACTAAAGAAAAGTAACAGACTTGGCAATTAGAAATAAACAGTAGTCACTGAACAGCCGAACAAGCCCCTTAATATTATTGTGCTTACAATAAAATATGCCTTGTTTTACATGGAAGCTACAGGTAGAAATTTGTATGCACAACTTCAGTGAAAGAATGTGGTCCTTTCCAGTAAAATGCTTTAAGCTCTGTAAAAAGTAATGTAGAGATTTCACAGGAAAAATGCAGAAATTTTAAAGAAAAAGATTGCTAAATGGAAATGATTGAAGCAGGATATAAACTCTGGTGTTCCACCTAACATGAAACAAGCTTTTAGATTTTGTCACCTGTGGTGAATAAATAGATAGTAGCAAAAAATGGGCAATAGCTTGGTTTTGGAGAACTGATCTTTCAGAGACCTCAGACTTGATAGTTGCAGAATTCAAACTCTTGATGACACACTGTTCTCCTACTGAACAGTACCAGTGGGAGAAAGGTCAGTTGATAAATATCCATAAAGTTCTCCTGTATTTGTATAAGAAAAGATAATAATTCCTGTAGATACTGCATCTTCATGACTCAGCCCCTGTTTTTCCACTCCTTTCATTTATGGTTTGTGCATAATTTCAGAAGGTGCATGGAAATCTACTCTCCGTTGGTCACAGTGGGAGCTTTCTGCTGATGAGGCTACTGCCTGATAGGAAAATGATGGCTAGGCTCTATAGCAATTCAAGTAAGTCATAGCTAAGACAAGATGTGTCTCCTCTCTTGTTGATGTGTTGTAGAGCTGTTGGAGCTCAGGGCCAGAATGAGATGGTCTGAGCCTTCTCTCTGTCCCTGCTGTTCTTTGCTGTGATTTTGAGAAGACTTTCTATAGGCCCTGTATGTTTCCCTTTCCATCTGTGAAAAGGAAAGAAAAACCTTCCTCCTGGTGTGACCGAGCTGGTGTTTGAAATTTCTTTAGAAATTCTTTAGGCAACAGAAATGAGGGGCACATTCAGGAATAAGGCAATTCCACTAAGAGCTGAAGGGACCAGGGTCATGTTAAATGCATTATTTTACTTGAGATGTCTTTATGAAAATCTTCTGCTATATCGTGGTGTTTGGCATTAATTTTTCTGGGTAAAAAATGAATTGACCTTAAGTTTGTCAATGGCTATCAGGTGGTGCTCTGTGGAATTATGTCTATCCACCTGTTAAAGGACCTGCAACAGAAATCAGACCTGTTATGTCATCGTGAAAAGCTTCAGCTGCGTTGATGTGTTTTGAATTGCTTTTTCTTTTGTGCCTCTACACACATTCCATCAGTGTGTAAAGGCCTGCTGGGAATTTAATATTTTATTTTGCTAACCTCCTGGATGTAGAAGCATCAGTAATCAAATTTTCTGACACGAAAATCGGTAGCATGGCGAATTTCATACAGAATCTTACCAAGCTCTAAAATGACTATAGGTTGAAGCAGTGGGTGCTGCCCCACAGTAAGATGAGGTTGGGTAGCAAACAGTTGCAAGTGTGTTCCTATGGTGAGGAAATAAACAGATGTATGGTTAGAGGAAGGATTTGAGAAAGATTCTGGAAGCTGAATGTAAAAATGAAAACAATGATGAATACCAAGTCATGTTTCTGAAGAGAAATGTGAGTAATAGCTCTGTTTTCAGTAGATGAGTCTTACTGTTGAAAAACACTTTGTCTCTGTAGTTATATCAAGTCTCTCTGATTTCCTACATATGTGTGCACATATCCATATTACAAAATGTAAGACAAAACAGGTTTTTTTATTACTCCATTTTGGCAATTAAATTTATATTAGACCTGTGAAAGGGAGCTGTAATATTTTATTCTTAATTTTTGGTGTCAATAAGTGCATGTATTGTAGTTAAGAAAAGTGTTACACAGAAGTTTTATAGAAGAAACTGTTGAAGGATATTGGACCTTTCAAATCTATCTATGGAGCTTTGTTCTTACAGGAAAAAAACAAAACAAAACAAACCCAAACCCACAATTTATTGATTTATAAATTATTTTAAATTTATTTTATTTTTAAGATTAGAGATTCTATTTTTTTCATTCTGTTCATTGATGCTATATTAATTTTGAATGCTTCCTGATGAATCTTGCTATGTCGAAAGAACTTGGTTTTCAGTGTGATGAGTTTCATAGGAGCTTTTGTTTTCTACAGCAACTACATGGTAGTTTTATTTCTGAGTCCTACATGTAGAGGGCCTCACCCTTGACTGGGAGTTACAGGAATTATGCCATCAATAATTTCACAACTA